TATGAAAATAACAGTACACTCGAGGAAGCAATATTGGACATAAATAAACAACGAGAATAAAAAGCGAATTTGCAATATTATAGTAAAGAGCATAATCATGTATATGTATAGCTTAGTCACAGAGTCAAAAAGTTGTCACTTCCAACATACATAGAGTGTGGGCTAAGAAAATATTAATAGAAAATTCATATCCAAATGGATTATTAAACAAACTAATCTTTAGTATTACTTGTGATTCCACACACGGAAGCCAAAATCAACAAATAGAACAAGCAACATTGACAAACCATTCACTATGCAACAACAAGTAGTCCATTAGGATTACCAACGACTTTTACTACCGTACATTCCTGATTTAACACCAAAACTTATAAAATTGTGCAGAGGCCAACACTTTAAAATCGCTATAAATATTGTTAAGACCATCTTCAATTTATCACTAAAATTTTTAATCTATACACTAAAACTAAGGATCCTTTGACACATGACTGAAAGTTCAATGGTTGTGTATGAAATACCATTCTCAAATTGTGGAAAAATATATATAGAGGATTCCAGAAAATATGTTTGTATGGTTACATTTCTTTTTTATATATTTGAGCGTGTACTTTTAGAAAATAGTAACTTGAAATTAAGATTTAAGCAATTTTTTTCCTTTGCATGGACTTTGCTGTTTTATTGTAGAAACCCAGGTTTATTGACTGGAATAGTTTGTGGTTAGTATTATAGTACTTGAGTTGTTTTTTATCGTATTTCAACATTGCTGTCTTAAACACCCGAAGGACCAATTAATTGATCAAAACGTCTCTAAAAAATATGTACAATATTAAGAGCAATTTATAGTACTAAATATAGAATAAATCATTGCATGCAATATGACGAAAAACGTATTTTATCTCCGTAAGCAATATAAGTTACCCTGCTAGGCCTTTCAATTTTGAATTGATTTCAAGATCTCTTGACTTATATTATGAAGAAATTTTCAAAAATATGTTCAATAATATCAAAGCGGAAATTACCATTAACTAGTTAATAATGCTGAGATAGGAATTACTATAAACGCTACAAAAACTATGTATATGTAAAAAACAAAAAGACCACAAAATGAATGAAGCCACTCTTAACGTGCAGATATATTTTCAACATTATTATATGGAGCTGAGACTTAAACATTAAAAAAATGCAATTTAAAAAGAATCGAGACTTTCGAACTCTGATTATACCTCAGAGAATTAAAAATATCATGAACAGATATTATCATATCATAAATTATACAAATAAAGAAGTACTTGCGAGGGTTGGCAAATAAACAGAACTAATCACCACTATACAAATAAGAAAACTGAAATACCTAGGCCACTTGATGAGAGCACCAAAATATGATATTTTGAGACTCATAATACAGAGGAAAAATTCAAGGAAGAAGATTTGTTGGCCGAATGCAGAATTCTTGGTTAACAAATCTACCTGATTGGTATCAATACAGATCTATTGATTTGTTTAGAGCAGCAAGTTCAAAAATAAAAATAGCCAATATGATTGCCAACCTCTGTAGAGAGACGGCCCACTAAAAAGAATTTTATATCTCTTCCAAAATGTACATATTATCAGATGTGTAGTGATTAGAAACGTTGAGGTTCTTCCTGGACTTTTTTTTCCACGCGGATATTCCATCTGACCCTACTTGTGCTGAACGCACTGAATTGACGTTTAGTAATTTTCAACTTCATCATCATCGGCTTGGTGATCGCCCTCGACTTTACCTTCCGGTTTTCTTTAGTATTTCTCCGATATTACTATCATAATATCTGTGAGGAAGAGCAGAATTATATCTGTATTTTTTAATTTGTTAATTTCCATAGTTTCTAAAGTATTTATTGTGAATGTGAAGAATTTGAAATTGATCATTAAAAGAATGATTATGGTCTAGAAGGTAAAATATCTACGTAGAATCTGTTTTTTCTATTATTGAAAGCCCATTTGTGTTCTGCTAGCCGTTTGTTATAAGTTTTACCAGTTTGACCGACGTATACCAAACATATAGCAGAACACAAGAGGGTTTTCAATAATAAAAAAATAGATTCTATGTACGCACTTCATCTTCTTGACCATAATAGCTCTTTTAATGACCAATTTCAAATTGAGTTGAATATATGGAATAGATTCTATTTATTAGAATCTATGGAAATTAACAAATTAAATATACAGATATAATTATGAATGGCCAACTTGAGACAAGCAGCTTTCCCCCCTCAACTCATTCAGTTAAAATAGATTATAATAAATTTTGTGGAAGTGTTGAAAACAAATGTTTTCAGTGCTTTATTGTTGGATACAATGAATTTCCATTAATTAACGGTCGAATGTATCACTTAAATAAATTGATCATAAATAAAATCATATACCACATACACACTTTTTCTTACTTTACGTTCAGAAAAAAAGACGGTAAAAAATAGACCGGCCTCATACCCTTCATCGAAGAAGGCAAAAGGCACAATTCCCAGAAAACAAGTATGTAAGATATTTGAATACCTCATGGATTAATAGAAACTGTAAAAATCTCTACGCCAACATGGTAATTGTACAATTAACATGGTACCTTTAAGACATACAGTGCGTTTCGAAGGAATTCAGCACCACAAAAGGCTTACTACAAGAATGTTCTACGTCTCAGGCGTTATTCAAAATTTTCTTAGAACAAATTCTAAAACCATGGACAAGAAAATGTAAAGGTATGGGAGTACCAGTCAGAAATACCTTCTTATACACATTAAGTTTCGCAAATGACCAAGTTTTATCTGCTAAAGAAGAAGAAGGTCTAACTTATATTATGATATTTCTGCAAAAAATTAAATTGAAGGTGTAATTAAAACATTGATCGGTTTGAATGGATATTTCCTTTGTATGTGTACCTATATTGTTGGCCACTGATCTAATCGTGGTTTATGTCTTGTGTGTTAATGAAGTCGCTCTGATGAAACGCTGAGCGTGAAAAGTGTCCTTTTATCCTGTAGGAGTTGCGTGGCTAAAGGTACTAAACCAAAACTACAAAACAAAAAAGAATCTAGGGCATATGCTCCGAAAACTATAACAAAAATACGCAAAAACGGACTAGAATAACGACCTATTCGGCAAGATCGAATATCTCATAACAGAACAAGGATCAGCAAAAGGCTGCGAAGTGGAAGCAAATACGGGAAATTAAGAACATTGAAAAAATTATCTATAATTCATACTTTTGAGAAACCCAACCACTGAGGAGTAAATGACAGAAACAGCAGATTGACAGAAACAAAAATGTGTATTAAACAAATGAGCGAGGTACTCTGAAATTATAGACAGATTATCAAAAATGCAAAAAAATATTTATAACATTATGGTACGCAGTATATGGAGCGGAGAAGTTGGTAATAAATAAAAGAATCAAGAAAAAATTGCAGCAACCGAAACAGATTTTATGGGAAGCTATAAAAGCTAACAAAATTGGACCATCATAAAAAGAAGGATGACCCTGGAATAATGCGAACTAAGGATAGATTGAAAAAAAGAACTTTGAACTTGCTATGGACACTTAAGAAAAGCAGATCAAATGAGGTGGATAGCAAACATTACGAAATGAAGAACTATGGGAAAATAAAAGAGGCAGACCGCTAATCATGGAGGGACGAAGTGAATGAGATCACAGAAACGAGACCTTCAGAGAAGGAGGAGGGTAGAAAAGAAATGAAAGCGGCATCCGTTGAAAGAAGGAAGGCAGCGACAGTTGTAAACAACTTGAAATCACGTATTAGAGAATAACCAAAGAAGTAGACATTAAGTACATATCAAGTAGTAAAACTTAAATGGAAATGTGTAGGTCGTACCTACCACTTGACAAAATAATGAGAGTTGGAATGAGCGTATAATGTATTGGCAACCGTGAACAAAATACAAGAGAGAAGGAAAAAAGCTTCATATGAAATGAAGTGACGATCTTAAGAAACATGCTAAAACAAGATGAATGTCATTGACATTGATTGGCATTTTAATATTATCTTGGCTTCGTTATATGTCCCATGGCGTCTATTCTTACTATTCATTAATCATATCGTTTTTATTTGTCTCTTTCCGCGATATGTTAACAATATTACTTTTCAGTCGGCATCTGAAACATCACAAAGAAATTGTGATGCGATTGTGTGCGATTGAAGAAAAAAGGAAGGCAAAATATACAAGGTAAAACGGTCCCATTTTCTAGCGTTATAAATAATATCAATGCTGTAAAAATTCTAATGAAAGGTACGAGGTTGCATAAATGGAAAAGAAAAAGAGCTTTAGGATTTTAGATTAGAATGTCATCATTGTTAAAGCCTAGTTCAGGAAAAAAGAGAAGCCTTATGAGCAACTAAACCGAATAACAATTGTTGCCACTGCGAAACGTACAGCCTCTGGTGAAAATGCAGAATATGTAAAGAATGTGATAACAGCGAAAAAATAGTATCAAAAAAGTTCAAAAGCACTTAGTACCTAATCATCTTCCATCACAATTCTGATTACTCTAGAGACCAAGGAAATATCACTAAGACAAACAACAATCATAAGCCAACATTGCCAAAGCTACGGCAAATTCACCGAAAGCTAGGAAAGATGTAAAAAACTCTTATTTGTAATATTATTTATGTTTATTATCCAAAACCTAAGTTTCACAATAACTAATCCAAACTAACATGATATGATTTCCTGGGGCGGATACTCGGTTGGAAAAATGGGGAAGTTTTCTCTCAACAAAGTTCAAAATTAAAGAAAACCTTTTATGTCGTTTGGGTTTATTTTTTTATTATATTTTGGTCGGTGTTTCATTGGAAGTTCCCACTCCGCCAAGCAAATGTCTAAATATGCCACTCGCACTTTCACGTCAATATTGTTATTAATTTTATTCCTTAAATTATTCCAGTCAATAAACATACTTTTAGAAGATAATTTCGATGGCATTTTAATGTATTTTTTGTAAATTTTAGGACTGGGTCTAGATCAGTACCGAAGATACGATCCCAAGGTAAGTGATCTTAAAGTAAAAGTTATTATTTTAATTCTTTTTTCCAGCAATTTTAAGATAGAAATTTCTCTTTTTACAACTATTTTTTCTGTATCAAACTCTCCTTAACACTTGTGTAACTATCCAATGTGTAAATAAATTTTTGTTTTTATTCATTTCAGCACGGTGTACAGGTAATTATTATCTGTCGGATGTTTTGTGCATGTTTCCCTTTTTGACACTTTTTTTTTATTTTTTATCTTATACCTGATTCTTGGCACCGACTTTAATAAGCGTTTTAAAAACCGGAGTAAATTCCTATATAAATGTTAATAAATAAGATATAAGTTACCAACGTAAAATCATAGGTTCTGGTTAAAACTGTAGCTTTATGAAATCCAAAAATTAAATTAAAACCAATTGTAACTACAATTAAACTCAAAATATGAAACATTTATCAGGGGCGCCTTTTTTAGAGCATTTGTCTACTACATAAAGTAGTTTGCTGTCTATAGGAGATGAAGTAATCAACACGAGCCATCGTTTGCCAAGTTATATGCAAAGATCTAAAGATAACATCCGATATGCTCGTTTGAAGATTAAAGAAACATCGCTAGCTGGCAATAGGATTTAAAAATGATTATGAATCAATATGTACACAGTATAAGAGTTCAGTGTACGTATTTTAAAATAATGAATAGTTCAGAAATCATTTGAACATAAGCATGTTCAAAGAACTAATGAGAACATACGAAATCCTGTATGTTGCAGACCCTTTTAGCCAAGAAACGATTAACTCCAATACCTGAGTCAAGCTAGAAAGGAAAAGTGGATCGAAACCCAGGAAAAATGGACATGGCATATAGTAACAAAATAGAATGGAAAGAACTTAGCGGTGATCCTAAAAAACATAAAACCACCTTGCAAGGATACATCAAACCATGTCTCTACTCAATTCCTTGTGAATGGTTAACTAAAAACCGATATAAAGACCCAAAAATTAAAAGGAGCGATTATAAATTAATTCATTCAATATCTGAACAATTTTGTGCATTACACATTTGTATGAAAAGAATTAGCACAAATGCCGACAGAACTGAGGGGCTATTGAAGAAGAAGCTTTAAAACAACATGAGAAAAATAGACTGTCTGGAATCTTAATTTGAAAATTGGGATGCTATTATAAATAAGATGGTAACTTTAGATAATCAACTGATTTTTTTTCTGCTTCTTCTTACGTCACGCTTAGCACTACTTGTCTCTAGCATTTCTTCTTTCTGTCCTATCATTAAACTCTACTAAGAAGGCCAGTGCTGTTGATAAAACCGAAAACTTTTTTTGTGACTGTCTTTATCTCCCGTTGCCATGACGCGACTCCTACTGTCTCCAACACACACTTCAAATCTGGACTTAACACTCGATTGTATTGAATCCAATTGCGACTAAGTTTAGTATTTATGCTCTTTTGACCATCTTAGACTATTTTCTTTTGTTGTAATGTTAAAAGTGGATTTTCCTTACTCTACTCTACTGTAAAACTTACTTTGTAAGTAAAAAATCCTATTTTGTGGTCCTAGCGGTGACATGTTGATCTAGGAACGTGTCTTCCAATAACATCACGCCATAAAACGCTTAACTCCATATAATTTGCTCGTCGATTTTTCAATATAATGCGTCTTAATGCCCATAGATCTGCTTCGGTAATTTTACTTTTTCGTACATTTCTAGGTTTTGTGACGACTGAACCTGTAGTTTTGTATCCTCTGACTTTATTTCTTACACTATAGCGTGACAATTGCAACATATTAGCGATTTCCGAAATTGATTTTCCAGGATTAAAAAATCTTATAATGATTGAACATATTTTCTCATCGATAACTTTACCTCGACCCATTGTACCGGGTGGTCCAATAAGCCGATCTCTCGGCTATATATCAGAAACTATTCATGTTATAACTTTAGGAGAAAAAATTCCTTAGTAAAAGTGGCCAAGAGAAATCGCTGGAAATAACTTTCAAGATTCTGGATTAACCGCCAGGGGGCGTAACCTGCGAAGAAAATTTTGAAAACCAGTTTTTTGGGAAATATGTCCAATTATACCAAGTGTTAAATAAGTAAACTAGAAAGAGGCATACATTCTGCACAAAGTTGTTCAAGTACTTTTTTTTTATTTTTTCAAATAAAGGGCGGGGGACAGTGGGAAAGTATTTGTGGATAAATACCTATAACTTTGGTTTGGATCAACCGATTTTATCAAAACTAGTGTCATTAGAAAGAGTATGGATGAATTAATTTACATCTACTATAAAATAATTGCATTTAGTTTTAATTGTCGTAAGTAGAGGGTACTTTCGAATAGAAAAAATTAAAATTTGTTTTTCTTTAAAATTTTTAATGGAAACGCCTACTTATTGTAAATTATAATGGAACTGGATTAAATTCGTAACAAAATGGCGAAAACCGCATGTTAATAGCTTTTATCGAACTCGAGATATGAATAAAAAACGCATAAACATAAGTAAGTATAGTATTGACACACCCTGTATTATAAAATAAATTAAAAAATAAGTCAGTAGGTACTTTCAAAATTTTTTATAGCAGAAAACTCTTAATGTTGATACCTATTTTGACCATTGTTATTTCATATGATTAAAAATTGTTTTTTCGAAACTAAGTAGGCTACGACAATGAATTTGACAGGGAGTTCATATTGTTTATTTATTGACAGCAGTCAAAATATTGTTAAGAAGTGTTATATGTATTATAATTCAAATTGAAAATTGCATTTTTTTCAATAGATATTAATATTGGTAATATTAGTAATTAATTATCAGTAGGTACTAATAATTCGTGATGAGTATATCAAATTGTATGATATGATTGGAGTTTATTTCGAATATCACCAAAATGGCGCTATTGCCTCACGTATATATTCTGTAAGATATCCTGGCAGGAGATATTGTGGCAAAGAAGTAAAGATTTCGGACTACTTATATGTGGATTCTGTTGAATTAAAGCAAGAACATTGATTGAATTATCTTCGGTCATAACTCTACTACGTCGTTTAAAACAAGGACGAGAAAAACTACTAGTTTCTCTTAATCTTTCTGCCTTTCTTTCAAATACTTCTTTGCCATAATGTCTCCTGTCACGATATCTTACAAAATATATACGTGAGGCAATAGCGGCATTTTGGTGACATTCGAAATAAACTCCAATCATATCATACAATTTGATATACTCATCACGAGTTATTTGTACTGGTAATTAATTACTAATATTACCAATATTAATATCTATTGAAAAAGTGCAATCTTTAATTCGAATTATAATATAGCACTTCTTAACAATGTTTTGACTGCTGTCAATAAATAAACAATATGAACTCCCCGTCAAATTCATTGTCGTAGCCTACTTAGTTTCGAAAAAACTATTTTTTACAAAATAAATATCAACATTCACAAGATTCTTCTGCTATAAAAAAAATTGAAAATACCTACTGACTTATTTTTTAATGTAATTTATAATACAGGGTGTGTCAATACTATACTTACTTATGTTTATGAGTTTTTATTCATATCTCGAGTTCAACAAAAGCTATTAACATGCGGTTTGCTCCATTTTGTTACGAATTTATTCCAGTTCCATTATAATATACAATAAATAGGTGTTTCCATTAAAAATTTTGAAGAAAAATAAATTTTAATTTTTTTTATTTGAAAGTCCCCTCTACCTACGACTATGAAAACTAAATGCAAGTATTTTATAGTAGATGTGAATTAATTCATCCACACTCTTTCTAATGACACTAATTTCATTAAAATCGGTTGGACCAAACCAAAGTTATGGGTATTTGTCCACAAATACTTTCCCACTCTCCCCCACCCTTTATTTGAAAAAAAAAGTACTTGAACAACTTTGTGCAGAATTTATGCCCCTTTCTAGATTACTTATTTAACACTTGGTATAATTGGACATATTTCCCAAAAAACTGGTTTTCAAAATTTTCTTCGCAGGTTACGCCCCCTAGCGGTTAATCCAGAATCTTGAAAGTTATTTTCAGCGATTTCTCTTAGCCACTTTTACTAAGGAATTTTTTTTTCCTAAAGTTATAACATGAATAGTTTCTGATATATAGCCGAGAGATCGGCTTATTGGACCACCCGGTACAGTTATATTAAAAAAAAAGGGTACAAGTATTAGAAAGGGAAGTTAACGTCATCCTATTTGTGTAAAACCGGCTGGGATTTTTGGAGGTTATCAAATGTCATAAGTGACATAAGATCAGAAATGCGACTCAGACGTCAAAGACGTTTAATTTGATAGAAGGTTTAACGTTACGTACAATAAAAAATTAATATGCCTCGTCATTTAAGTGAGATTGAAAAGGCTCAAATAATTACGAAAATGGAAGAAGGATGGTCAATTCGTGCGCTAGCAAATTTCTATAATAGAAATTTAAAAACAATCTTCAGAATTACGCAACGATGGGTCCAACAACAATCGTTAAAAAGAAAAGTTGGTTCAGGGCGTTCCAAAGTGTCCACTCCTCAACAAGATGCTGCTTTAGTTCAATTCTTAAAAGATAATCCGAAGGATTCAAGGATTCATACGGAATTTCCTGGTGCTCAACCTACTGTAAGCAGAAGGATCAATGAATCTGAATTAAAAAACCGACCAGCTGCTAAAAAAACCATTAGTAACTGTTGAACATCGGCAAGCAAGAGTAATATTTGCACTAAACTATATTTACCGCAACCCACAATTTTGGAACAACGTCATTTTTACTGATGAAAAGACTTTTCAGTCGACCTAAAACGGTCAAATCCGTGTTTATCGTCCAGCCAATACTAGGTTTGAAGAACGATATATTCACTCTCATAATAAATATGGACGTTTTTCTGTAAATGTATGGGGTTGGATTAGTATACATGGACCTGGTGTTTGTTGGCGATTAGAGGGAAGATTTACTGCCGACAATTACATTAACGTTTTGGAACACGTAATGCTCCCTTCTATTG